CCTTCCAGCCCTGCCCCCTCCCCCAGTCTGGCACGCTGTCTCCACGTCCGATCCAAACACAGAGGCACGGGCGGGCTAATTGCAGCCCTGTCGGCAGCGGCAGTCAGCCCCGACTAAACGCACTGGTGCTGTGAACTAGTTCGGTATGTTACCGGTGATTCAGAGGCGGCGTGTCACGCTCCATGGTGGCCCAGACGCCATGGGAGCGGCGCCACGCCAATTTACTCGTGTCCGTGATTCCCAGAATGGATGGAAACGCGCCGGCTGGACAGTGTGACCTCATGGAGGACAACATTTGAAACCATTCAGCGGACTCAGCTGCTGTTGATTCATTCGGTTCCCTTTGATATTATGCACAGGTTTATATCCACATGATAATGGTGTCATGTGTAATATGACTACCTGCCACCCGTAACATGATTATTGATAGGTTATGCAACTATATGTTTGTTTTATACAAAGATTATGTAATATCTGACTCTGACTTTGCACAAGCTCATCAATTATTTGACGACTAACAGCAATCACAAATTCCGCATCCGCTCAGGAGGAGACATCCGCCGATAGTCTGTCGTGTGTCCCATGTTCTCTGTTGACCCTGACACTGCGACAACAGACTGAGCACGTCTGACCGACTAACAGACGGCGAAACAGTCGCGCACAGCGACAACATCACGAGCAGGGTGGGTCCCGCCCTCACACTGTTGTTCAGGGTTAATGATGATTCTCAGCTCACTGTTGCGGGTAATTGGCAGGTGACAAGACGTTGGACGATTAACGAGCTCGTAAAACGCGCTGAACCGTACTTACCAACCAGCCAATATATTATTGTAAATTATGATGACGCTGGTGGCGACGTAAAGCACAAGTAACGTTTATTTTGCGGTGAATTTCAGTAGGATGCATTGCCAGCTTACAGGCGATTCTGCACATGCCTTGAGACAAACCTCAAATACTTAAGCCGTGGTCATTTGAACCATTTTGACACGATAGGCTGACGCCGAACGAAAACCATTACGACAAAATATAAGCCTTTACCGATTTCAGTAGATGTAAGCTGAGGGATTGATAAACAAAGTTTAAATGGTTCGGACCTCGGAATGAGATCAGCTCGAAATGCTGTTGTATTTGGCAAGGAAAAAAATGAGTTATTCTAAACCAATGGGAATTGGGAAGGTCGTTTTGCTGTAGAGCGACATTTAGCTTTTGTTTCATTACATTTTCTTTTCTTTTATTCTGCAATTTATCTTTGCCTTTGAAATAATTTGAGCATGAAGAGGCCAGCAAACAGTGCTGTAATTCATAAAAGCATCGAATACCATTAGCAGTTGAATCGCTTTCCAAAGGTGACTTCCTTCTATCGATGAGGTAAGTGTGAGGTAACTCTGCAGCTCGCCATACAGCGACCACAACCGCCGCTGCACCATGAGGAGGGAATGGCATCACCAGACCGATCCGACCTGACTCGACCCGGCGCGGCAGCGGTGGCCACCAGCCACAGCCGTGCCGCCGGCTACCCGTCTGCCGTGTTTAACACCGCGGCCATCGCCGCAAACGAGGTGTGTGGGAGACCGCCGCACACGCGCGCCACGTCTTCGGATGCCGTCATACCCGCGCCGGCGCAGTGGAGGGGTGAGCGGGTGGGAGGCGCTGGCAAGTGGCCGCGGAGGCAGGCCGTGACCCCTGGCACCCGAGCGTGGAAACTGCGGCACTCCGAGACTGACAGCCGCAGCGCCGACCCGCTCGGAAACACAGGCTGGATCAACGCTGACAATGCTAACTATGTTTTTATATCCATTACCTAATTTAGGATGTTTAGGCCAATTGGTGACACCAACAGACCCGAGAGTTGCAGCATGTTTTGACATTTAATATCAGGAGAGGAAAACAAGTATTTATGGTGCATAGGTATACCTTTCTGGAATTAGCGACCAGCATTGGCTCTTGCTTCCTGGCCTTTGGAACTATCATGAACATTGATCATTGAATATTGTTGGCGCCAAGTGCCATCAGGGTGTGTGCAAATACCAAATGTAACTCAACCAGTTACCATTCAAGGGATCTTTCTACTCCACAACTCTAATTCAGGCCGCATAGGTTTGATTAGTTGACTTTTTAGTCCAGACATGATTTCAAACCGGTTTACGACAACAAAACAATTGATTGGTCGTACTGACTAGAATGTTGGTGGAAGCGGTCGCCTATCCAGTGGATAGTAAACCACACATGCACCAAAGCAAGAGCAGAGCCTACGTTCCTCCACTTTCTGATCGGTGTCCAAGTCCATTGAATGGGCCTATGCAAGTGGTGACCTTCCCTGACCTGACCCACGATTGACCTGTGACCCCTGGTCACCAGGCGGCCGACCCCGGCGCCCCATCGGTTTCAGTGTGTGGTGTGGAGAACCGCTGAGGCGTAACTTCGTAAACTAATGTGGCGTCGTATGCCACGGCCCACAATGGTGTATTGTGGTCCGCGGGATTGGTAACGACGCAAGACGATACCGCACGCCGTCTAAACAAACTGGTGATGTTGATAATAGAGTTCAACCATATTAAAATGGCAAGCTCTGTCTCATCAGTCATCATGTTTGTCAACAATGAATTAAGATCAAAAGCGCACCGATTGCAGTGGGTACGGGAAACTAGATAAAATCTGTTTTCTTTTGTTATTTTATTTGTTTATTCATAGATTTCAGCATCTCGGACGCTGTTTTACAGTGTTCTATGGTTTATCATAACGATGAATTTGTTTCCCCACTTTCGCCTTCCGTAATTTGATTTTAGTAATAACAAACAAGTTGTGGCCACTTTAATGTTGTATTGCAATCCAAAAAAGAGGTTGTGTTTCACTTAACATGTTATTGACAGAAGGTATGGACAAAGAACGGCCATTCCATGCCAAAATATTGTATCCAGTCTTATCCATTGTATTCGTTGCACACTAACAGAGCTGCAATTGGAAGCTGTGAAGGATTACCTCTAAAGGCCTTTAGTACCTACCTATGAATACTCACGAATGATTTGGCAGCTTTCGACATGACAGCAGGGCCAGGGGCGGATCCAGGAAAACTCCAAGGGGAGGGTCATGAATCGACGTGGTGCCCCTACCTATACCCAAAATTAAAAACTCATCGGATTTCGGCCACTTCATTTTGGTGGTGCCCTATTTTCTTTTTTTGTTTTTTTTATATATTTTATTTTGTGTGTGTTGCCCCTGGCGGGCCTGTGGTGCCCCTGCCAGGCCGCAGGTGCCCCTCAGGTTTGTGGTGCCCCTGGAAGGACTGTGGTGCCCCCTGACAAGCCTGAAGTGCCAACGACAGGCCAGTGGTGCATCTGACAGGCCCATGGTGCCCCTGCGAGGCCGGTGGTGCCCTTGGCAGGCCGGTACCCGTGCTAGGCCGCCGTTGCCCCCTCTGACAGGACTGTGGTGCCACTGATAAGCCTGAAATGTCCCCGACAGGCACGTGGTGCCCCTGACGGGCCAAAGGTGCCCCTGCGAGGCCGGTGGTGCCCCTGACAGGCCTGTGATGCCCCTGTTAGGTCTTTGGTGCCCCTGACAGGCTTGTGGTGCCTCTTGAAGGACTGTGGTGCCCCTGGGCCCTGATAAGCCTGAGGTGCCCCTGACAGGCTCGTGGTGCCCTTGCTAGGCCTGTGGTGCCCCTGACAGGCTCAAGGTGCCCCTGCGAGGCCGGTGGTGCCCCTGGCAGGCCTGTGGTGCCCCTGCAAGGCCTCTGGTGTCCCTGACAGGCCTGTGGTGCCCCTGGAAAGACTGGTGCCCCTGGGCCCTGACAAGACTGAGGTGCCCCTGCCAGGCCCGTGGCATCCCCGACAAGGCCGTGGTGCCCTTGCTAGGCCTGTGGTGCCCCTGACAGGCCTGTGGTGCCCCTGCAATGCCTCTGGTGCCCCTGGAAAGACAGTGGTGTCCCTGGGTCCTGACAAGCCTGACGTGTCCCTGCCAGGCCTTTGGTGCCCCCGACAGGCCCGTGGTGCCCTTGCTAGGCCTTTGGTGCCCCTGACAGGCCTGTGGTGCCCCTGGCGGGCCTGTGGTGCCCCTGCTAAGCCACTGCTGCCCCTGGGCCCTAACAGGACTGTGGTGCCCCTGACAAGCCTGAAGTGCCCCCACAGGCCCAAGGTGCCCCCGCGAGGCCGGCGAGGCCCCTGGCAGGCCTCTGGTGCCCCTGGCAGGTCTGTGGTGGCCCTGGCAGACCTGTGGTGCTTTTGCTAGGCCGATGGTGCTCCTGACAGATCTGTGGTGCCCCTGACAGGTCCGTGGTGCCCCTGCTAGGCCTGTGGTGCCCTTGGCGGGCCTGTGGTGCCCCCGAGCCCCAAGGAGGGGGTCATGACCCATGTGACCCCCCCTTGGATCCGCCACTGCATGACAGGAATTTTATACTCTGACTAGTGTATGTATTGTGTGCCGGGCCGTGTAGCGTGCGACTCCGATCACAGTGAAGGATACCTTATCCAGGGCTGACTTCCTTATGAATTCCTTATGGAAGGGCTGACTTCCCTATCAAAATAATTTATGTTGAGTCCCGAAGTTTGTCATTTCGAAGTATACATAAAACAGAAAGTTGTCACCTCGTTATTACCCACGCCGAAGAAGCCGCTGCAGTAGAATCTGCTTAATAAATCCAGGTTGGTGACACGGCGTTTTGGATTTATTAAGCGGTGACTTTATTAACCGGTGTCAGTTATGTTTAATATAGAGAAATCCGTGAACAGTTCAAGTGGCCACAATAAGCGACCGGATTTATTATCCTAGGATTCATTAAGTGGATTCTACTGTACATCGGAAGCATACACACATGCATCTCTCTCCTGTCTTTCTCTCTCTCTCTCTCTCTCTCTCTCTCTCTCTCTCTCTCTCTCTCTCTCTCTCTCTCTCTCTCTCTCTCTCTCTCTCTCTCTCTCTCTCTCTCCCTCTCTCTCTCTCTCCTCTCTCTCTCTCTCTCTCTCTCTCTCTCTCTCTCTCTCTCTCTCTCTCTCTCGACCTACCGTGATATGAACTGACGCCATCCTCTCCGAATGCCCCGAACCGATCGGGAGCTGCGCAGGCACGTCCGCCCCCCTCGGCTGCTGTTGTACGACTGAGACCCGTGCCGGCACTCTCGCCCTCGCTGAAGGCCGTCGTAAGGTCGCCGGCCGGCCCGCGGAAGTGGAGCCGTCGCCCCTATCGCCTAAGGCGCTGTGGCGCCCAGCCGTCCCAGCTAATTTGCCTGTATTTCCGTCGTGTGCGCGTGGGTCTGTTCGGATGGGTCCTTCCGCCGCAGTATCGTCCTCGGCTGCCGGCGTGGCCCGGGGCGCTCGAATATCAATGTTCGGTGATGGATGCGGTTGGTTTTTAGATAGAATCTGTTTATGAGTCAGCACGAAAGAACGTCCAAAATAAGGGAGAAAACACTTCGGTCATTGGGGGGGGGGGGGTCAGTTCAAAGGTCAGGTCACCAGAGGTCACCAAAGGTAAAATGTTGGCTATTTCAACATTTTGGAAACTGCCAACGGCTATCTCGGGAACCGATAGAGCTACAGCGCCGCGGAAAAGCGCATTCGATCAGTGGCGGATCCAGGGGGGGGGGGCAAAATGGGCATTTGCCCCCCCCCCAAACGGCATAATTTTAACATTACGCCTATGGACGATGCATGGAAAGAATCGATAAATTTTATGGTTTGCCCCCCCCCCCAAAAAAAAAACTCTGAGCTGGATCCGCCTCTGCATTCGATAGCCCTTTTACAGACATTTCTGAGCATTGCTCTCATATTTGACCTCAGGTCAACGATTTAGCCTCCAGAGGGCAAAAACTCCAAAAATAGCCGTTTTTACGAAAAGTGTTTTTCGGCAATAAGTTTGGACTCAAAAGAGGCATGACATTACTTTTACCAGCATCGTGTTCCTCTCGTCGAGATGAGTCGAATGAACTATAATTTGACATCGAAAGGTCAACTTGAAAATTTGACCTCAGGTCAAGGTCATGACCTGACCGGAAAAGGTCATGTTGCATATCAGTCGATCCGCAACGTCGAGCCGAACACATCTAAGGCGTTTTCAGCGCTCTAGCACGCCTCATCAGAAGTTATTAGCGAAAAACTGTTAGATTCTGTTCGTGACCTGAGATGACCTCGGGGACATAACGAGGGGTCACAGTTGCCATTTTCCGGTTCAGTGTGTCAATTTTACCTACATCTCGATGTTTGAGAGTGTCTAGAATAGCGTTCGTGCAAAACAGATGCTTTTCAATTTTCTCCCATTGAAATCAAATGACGAAGCACTATGGTGAACAGCATTATATGTAGGTAATATGATTAATGGAATAACCTTCTGTTCAAAATTCTAAAAATTGCCAAAAGTTACAAAAACCCTTGAATATATTTCGGATGCGTTCCTTCATCGGTTCAAGTGATAAACATTTATAGCGCCACATTTGCCGTTAACATAGGTATCTGATTCATGTTTTTTAAAATATAAATCTCGCGTCTAGGTTGAGATGTGTCTTCTAATCTACATCGACAGAATTAACTTTACAGCGTACGAATAAAATTAGCTCCTACACTTAATAGGTTAATAGGTTATAATGTTGAATGATACTGTTCACACTTACACTGTTAATAGGCTACAAGCTAGGGGGAGAGAAAGCGTGCAGGGATGAAGGGGGACACAATTCTAGGCAGCTCACATCAGTACTATGCCTACCAAAAGTAAACACTACTGCCTGACAGGATAATTAAGTATGCAAACGAATGAATGAATTGAATGGATGCACGAATGAATGAAGTATGAAAGAAAGGAGCCTAAGCATATATGTGAGCAGTCGAATAAGAGAGAGAAATCCACACAATAATCGCTTCACATAAGAAGTGTGTGTGTGTGTGTGGGGGGGGGGGGGGGTCGTTCAACAAATCGAAACACATCTCATACCATAGGTACCTAGATGAGCCTGCGATCAATAACCGTGTGATATTCTAGCTCCTATACCGGGGACACGTTAAGGTCACCACTGCTTTACAGTTTACACGATCGTCCATGATGCCACGTTTGTGTTGAGTCCTGGTCGCTCGTCTCTAATGTGAAGAGATTCAGCAATCTTTCTCTCGCGCTCTTTCTTGCGCACTTGTATTATTGCAGCTGTCACGTGTGATGGGCTTGGTTGTATGCCACGGTGTTCTTCCCGGAAATGGTCCCCGGTCCCCGAGAGGTGAATCTCTGCGTTGGTTTTTGGCGTCTCGTAAATGTTCATTGTACCGGAGTCGCACCATTCTGCCGGTTTCCCCGATGTATGTCTTCTGACAGAGGGTACACGTCAGTTGGTAGATGACTCCGGATGTGTGACATCGTCCTCGAAGACCCGCTGCGCACGCATGACAGTGAGCTCCTCCCGGGCAGGGTACTACGACCCCCATCACTGTTTCGCCCCGTATATGGAGCTAGAGCCTCGGAGAAAAACGAGAATATGCGCCATTACGAGACGCAGCGAGTGTTACTCGATTTTAAGGTCTTAGGTCAACCGGTGACTTCTGAGGTCAGGTCAAGTGGCCCAAGTCATGGGATCGGTTCTTGATAAATAGCTTCGCAATAAAATGGCCGCATAGCCGCGATTTTGGCAGGGCTCAAATAAAGCTCCGTCCTGCCGATGAGGTCGGCGACCACGAATGCTATAACATTTCCCAATGGTGCGACCAAAAACGCGAAATATGAAACAAATTTTGAAGAATATCTTTGAAAAGCTATATAAATATTGGTAAGAATATTGACATAGCCTCAGCATCACTTATGCGCATCATCTAGTCAATTGTTATGGTTATTTCCACGGTACAACCTGGACACTGGACGGTGGGCTAACATACCACTGTTGTAGGATAAACTACCACCTTCCGTACACGGGAATACTACCACACTTCCCCATCAGCGCTCGTCGGCGTTTTCTGTGCGACCACCCGTGTTAAACCAATGGGGAAGAGTGGTTGTCAAAATCGCCGACGAGCGCCGTTCATTGGTCGCCCACCAGGGGATGGGTAGGGATAGGGATTCGGGCGCAAAATTTTGCTCTTGTTTTTATGGTGTATTTAGGCTGCGCTCGGACAGCCCGGTCACTGCGTGGAACTTCCACGCCGAGGAATTCCTCACGCAAACGCATTGGTCAGTGCGAACTGCGAAGCGAAACGCTATGGCCAAACGGCCGAAAGGCGTTTTCGTTGGGAGCTCATCGGCGTAGAAACTCCAAGTGGAAACTGGGCTGTCCGAACGCAGCGTTAGCGATCAAACCACTGCTTTTAATCCATGTTGTACTTAATTGCAGATTCGTGTACATTGCTGGCGCTTGATGCGGGCTACGGGCTGGGAATAGCAGCATTAGAAGGTTTAAACGTTTTTTTTTTTTGCGTGTCCGACAACAAGAGCCATGGGCAGTTGGCACTGGGCAGCCGGTGCTGCGACCACAATATGAATAAAACTTTTGGTCGGCGACTACCAAACATCTTTTTTGAGCCCTGGATTTTGGCCTCATCAGCGTCTCGCCTAACTAAGGCGCGCCAAATGATATACTTTTTGTTCGGATTAGGTCAACTTAAGGTGTTGACCTCGGTTCAAGGTCAGGTCAGAGCCCCTCAGGCTGCGAAGCTTGTCGAAGGAGGTCATACCGCATAACATTCGATTCGTCAAGTCTCCCCGAGTCCATTGGTGGCTTTCCCGTCTCCACCTCAATTTGACCGGGAGTTATTAACGAAAAACTCTTATGACCCTAGTGGAAATGTCAACAAAGCAAACGTGAACCATCGAACATTGCAGGGAGTGAAATCCTGATTCCATGTGCTTGAGATAGTTTTAGATCATCATTCCCGCCACCAAAATAACAATTTCCATAGTTCCTCATGGCTCATTGACTTATGATGGTGAGGTCACGTGACCGACCTGACCTCACGTGACATTTTGGAAAAAGCCAAGATATAAACAAGTTGAGAGACCTGTAGAGGATAATACTTAACTGTAAGTTTTATCTTCCTGTTAAATTTCTTTAGGCACTGAGGGCGTTGCGAAGTTACGATATCTGAGGACCGTGCAGAGGTTTACTTATGACGTCATAGGTCAGTGACCTGACCTGAAACGAAAATGCGGCGGTTGGTGTCAAAAGATCTTGCTTGAACCATGCCAAGCTCAGCTCTCTATCTCCGGCATGTTTGTGCTGAGCTAGCAGCTAGCGTGAAAAAAAAAAACACTGCATGGGGGGCGGCTCCTGCCCCCCCCCCTCCCCTCCCCTCGACCGGCGAGGGTTAAATTTATGTAATAGGCATCAGCAACATGAAAAAATTTCTTGACCCTAATGTTTCCAGGCTAATTTTGACCATCATAAACTTGACCTTGATCCTGAACTTTGAGCACAGCAATGGACTCCTCGGAGTGCCTTCGTCGATCTCCAACCGATTTTGCCGCATTTTGAGCGATTTACGTTGCGTCTCTCTTTACGGAGTTAGACAGGAAGTCAGACAGGGGGACAAAAAATGTCCCGGACCCTTTTGTTTTGTCACGAGCAACGCCGATACACGCCGAGGAGCAGAGAATTTGGGAGATCAGTAGCACCTGGCGGCGGAATCGTCAATCAGTAGTTGGACAGATGCTCGTCAGTGAGCTCGACACTGGCGCTGCAATCGGCAACGAGGCTGCACCTCGCCTGAGCTGACTTGCGACTCAAGGCCCTAAATACACTTAGGTATTTAGGCACTTGCGACTTAGGCATCCCTTAGGATGCCGGATGACGCTGAAAGCATCCGCTATAAACCTATATTTAAGGTACTCTAGACTGGAAATTTGTGTACTTAATTAGAAAAGAAATACCTTTTAACCCTCGCCCGCAGGCGCACATGGGTGGGGGGGGGGGGTTGCCACCCTCCAGGTAGTTTTCTGCTCTGCACTCAACATGTTTAGAGCTAGAAGACTGATTTTTCGTATAGCTGCTCCTCTATCATTTCTTGATGTCCACTGAAAATTTCAAGTTTCTGTGGTTTTTGGTTTCGGAGATTTGACCTTGTTTTTCAGGTCATGTCATGACCCAAATGACCGATTCTCAACATCTTGCGTTGGCTATGGGCCTTGTGAGCTTTTGTCACCCTGATTTCGGCCTTTTTTTGCCAGTCTTACCTCCCACCTATCATGGAACATGTTGTTCGACGGTGTACAGATGTCAAGGTCAGGGTCAAGGTCAACCTAGGCCATCTAAAA